GTGCTTCTGCTGCAGATTGGAGACAGCATGGGCCAGCAGCAGCAACAGCAACAGGCAGATCTTCTATTACACCCCGCAGCAACTCAAGAGACACAGCAGAAGCAGCAGGGAAGCAGCGGAGACACCGCAGCAGCCGCGCGTACATCTGCAGCAACAAAACCCACAGCAGCAGCAGCAGCATCAGCAACAGCAGGGACGCTCTTGCAGCATAAGTTAACAGAAAGACTGCAGCAGCAACACGAGATAGAAGAGACATGCAGCAGCACGTACCAGCAGCACGCAACAACAGCAGCAGCATCAGCAACAGCAAGTAGCAACAGCAGCAGCAAGCAGCAGCAGCAGCAACAGCAGCAGCAGCAGGTGTTGCTGACAACAATCCTTCTGTCTCCTTTTCTTTTAAGAGCTGCTGCAGTCTCAACCTGCGGTAGCCGCCCCAGCAGTGCTGGCAGCAACTTGCGGTGTATATACACTCCGTCGTAGTGCTGCAGCGTAACAAGGCTCTCCAGCAGCTGCAGCACAAACGCAGCAGCAGCAGCAGCAGCAGCAGCAGCAGCAGCAAAGAGGCTTCTCCTTCGGTGCAGCTGCAGCAACTATCAATGCTTCTGCTGCTGCTGCTTCTGTAGCTGTTTGTGTTTGTAGTGTTTCTGTTCCTATTGCGGGGCCTGCTGTTTTTGTTGCTGCTCCCGTTGCTACTGCTGCTGCTGCTGCTGCTGCTAACCTGCAGCTGCAGCTCAGTAGATGCACCCCCTACGCCTCGCTGCAGCACCCCACCCAGCAGCCTGGCGATGTGAGCGTGCAGATTTGCTGCTTCTTTTTCTGCTGTTGACCTGAGAAGCAAACCATCAGCAACAAGTCATGCTGGTGCTGCTGGTGCTGCTGGTGCTGCTGCTCTTGCTGCTGCTGCAGGCGACAGCAGCAGCAGCAAAACTTCGCAGCAAAATGTGCAGCAACTGGTGCGGCACCACCAGAATCAGCATAAACAGCAGAAGCAGCAGCAGCAGATGCAGCAGCAGAAGCAGCAGCAGCAGCAGCAGACCAGTGTGCTTTAGCGAGTGCTTTAATGAAGTTAACAGCTTCAAGAAGAGGAAAGGCATCGCGGCGGGCTGAGGCTTCTGCTGTTGCTGCCTGCAGCAGCAACTTCTCTCCTGTCTCCGCCCTTTAGACACAAAGCAGCAGCAGCAGCAGCAGCAGCAGCAGCAGCAACAGATGCAACTGCTGAACCCCAGCAGAACCATAACGAAAGTAACAGCATCAACAGCGAGAGCAGCAGCAGCAGCATCAGCAACAGCAGCATCAGCAACAGCAGCAGCAACAGCAGAAGCAGCAACAACAGCAGCAGCAAGAGCAGCAGCAGCAGCAGCAGCAGCAGCAGCAGACCAGGCGAAAGCCGTCGCTGTCTTTGCAAGCCCCATTGGCGTTAAGAGAGAAAGCTTAGGAAGTAAAGCGTCTGCATGCAAATATAAATAAATATAAATATAAATATAAATATAAATATATTAATAAATAAATATAAATAAATATATAGATATATATAAGTATAGACAAATATAAATAGACAGAAATATAAAAAGAAATAAACACAAAAATATAAATATATATAAATAACAATAAACAAAAGTAAAATTTTTTTAAAGTAAAAATAAATAAATAAAAATAAAAATAAACAAAAACAAACAAACAAATAAATAAATAAAAATAAATAAATATTAAAACAAAAACAAATAAACAATAGACGAAAAAACAAATAAATAAAAATCAAAGAGATAAACAGACAAACAAAACAGACAAAAAATAAACAGAAAAATTAAAAAATAAAATTAAAACAAAAATAATAAAAATAAAAATAAATAAAAATAAAACAAAAGAAAGAAAAGGAGACAGAGAAAAACAAATAAAAAACAACATAACGCCGCATGCATATTAAATAAATAAATAAATAAATAATAAATAAATAAATAAACAAATGAATAGAAATAAAAATAAAAAATAAAAAAATAAAAAATATATATAGTGTCTCCTCCTCACCTCCCAGGGCCTTGAACAAACCCTCATTCCGCACATGCCTGCAGCAGCAGCAGCAGCAGCAGCAACAGCAATAGCAACAGTAGATGCAGCAGCAGATGCAACACATATAGTAGCAATAGATGCAGCAGCAGCAGCAGCAGCAACACCAGCAGCAATAACAGCACCAGCCGGAGCAACCGCAACAACAGCAGCAGCAACCACAGCAGCAGCAGCAGCAACAGCAACAGCAGCAGCAGCATCAGCAGCAGCAGCAGCTAACAGCTTAGCGAGTGCATGCGCAGCATTGGCGATGTCTTTTGGCTTTAGTTCATTTGCGGTTTGCTGCAGCTTCTTTTCTATGAAAGAAAGAAGAGGCCTGAAGACAAATAAATATAAATTAAATAATAAAATAAATAAATTAAATAATAAAATAACAATAAATAAATAAATATAAATAAATATATAAACATATATATATAAATAGATAAAATAAACAAGTAAATGCAATACAATAAATAAATTTGTTTTGTTTTGCTGTCTCTCTTTTGCTCTCTTCTTTCTTTGTTTGTCTCTCTCTCTCTTTCTTTTTGTCTCTGTCTCTCTCTCTTTATCTGTCTTTATATGTCTTTATCTCTCTTTATCTCTCTTTGTCTCTGTCTCTGTCTCTGTCTCTTTATCTCTCTTTGTCTCTCTGTTTGTTTGTTTGTATATTAATATCTTTTGATGTTTATCTTTATCTCTGTCTGTCTCTGTCTGTCTCTCTTTAATTTATTTATTTTATTTCTGTCTCTCTTTATAATTTTTGTTTATTTATTTATTTATTAATTTACTTGTCTATAAACTGCAGCGCAGCAAATGCATTTACAGCAGCAACAGCCTCGCTGCTGCTAAGCGCAGACTCACCCTCCTCACGCACCTGCAGCAGCAGCAGCAGCAGCAGCAGCAGCACAATTTAAAGGGTTTAGCAGCAGCAGCAACAGCAGCAGCAATACCAACAGCAACACCAGCAGCAGCAACAACAGCAGCCACAACAACAGCAGCAGCAACAGCAGCAACACGACCAACAGCAACGCCAGTAGCAACAACAGCAGCGCCAGCAACAGCAGCAGCAGCAACACCAGCAGCAGCAGCAACACCAGCAGCAGAAATAGCAACAGCAGCAACAGCAGCAGCAGCAGCAAACGGATTACAATTTGCGTCAGTCGATTCGTCATTGCGTTGAAGCAGCAAAAGTCGCGGTAGCGCCTCGCAGCAAAACCTGAGAAGCAGCAGCAGCAGCAGCAGCAACAGAAGTAACAGCAGCAGCAGCAGAAACACCAACAGCAGCAACACCAGCAGCAACAGCAACAACAGAAGTAGGAGCAGCAACAACAGCACCAGCAACCCCAGCAGAAGCAGCAGCAACAGCAGCAGCAGCAACAGCAGCAACAACAGCAGGGGTATGAGCATACACTTGAGGACAGCAGCACATTGCTGCGCAGTTAGCTGCTGCGCTGCTTCTGCAGCACGAAGACCCAAGGTAAACCAGACTTCTGTCTCGTCTACACCCTGCAGCAGCAGACGACGTGCTGTAGCAGCAATTTGCTGCGGGGGCAGCAGCGGGATAACTGAAAGAAAATTCTCAGGCCCTACGTGCTGTGCACACGAAGGAATATACCCTCCTGCTGCTGCTGCTGCTGCTGCTGCTGCTGCTGCTGCTGTTGCTCCTGCTGCTGCTGCTGCGGGCGAATCGCCGGATGCTGCAGGCCTGGGAGGCTCTGAAGCGCTGCACGCGCTGCTGAAATGACGCTGCTGCTGCTGCTGC